AGCTCTTTTCGTCTTCTTTTGATCCTGTACCTAATCCTAGAGCTCTTTTGTCATCAAATCTTCATCGTAAACCTCCTGGTGACCTCCATAGCTCTCAAAATAATCTCAAATGTTTCTCAAATCATCCCGATTGTTCCTCAAGCGACGGTGCCGGGCTCAAATTCTCTGATTTTGACTCCAAATGACACAAACTTGAACCAACGCCTGGTAAACATAACTTGAGCTAAAATTGAGACTTGTAACACCTTAAATCTAGGAAAACCATCAAAAGCCGATCTCAACACGCATCAAATGTGTGTCTAAATACGGACTTATCAGGGGTCAAGGTGGGGTCGAGGTAGGGGAAGGTGGTAAAGGGGTAGGGTCAAGGCAGGGTATGGAGGGGCACAAGTGGGGGTGGGGTAAGGGGTATGGTCGGAGATAGGGGCTAGAGGTAGGACAGGGTAGGGTGTGGGGTCAAGGTAGGTACATGTGGTAGGGGTAAAGGGGTGAGGTCGGTGTAGGGTAAAAGGGGTATCGGGTATGGGTAAGGTCGGGGGTAAGGTAGGGGTAAGGGTGGGTAGGGTGTGGGGTCAAGGTGGGTACAAGTGGTAAGGGGTAAAGGGGTAGGGGTAAAGGGGTATGGGTATGCGTGTCGTGGGGGTGGGTAGCGTATGGTCGGGGGCATGGTATGGGTAAGGTAGGATGTGGCTGGGGTCGGGGTCAGAGTGGGGTCAGGGTGAGGTAGGGGGTGGGTGGAGGATTAGCGAGTAGAGGGGTAACAATAGGGTAAGGGTAAATTCGAAATATGAAAAAGCTTAAAGTGCCACTTAATTAATACATGGGGGAGTGATATGCTTAGTAAGCGGCACTTTAAGCATCTCTTTCGGTCAGTAAGCAGCTTTTTAAGCAACTTGAGTATTTACTTCACCTGTCTTACTAACCTAAGTGTGACTTTAGCAGCGAAGTAAACATCTCTCAAAAGTACTAAAGTGGGTTAGCGACACCCTTGGAAACAGAATTAGCTGGGCTATTGATGGAGGAGATACGGGAAAGGGTGGAGCCCATCTAAAATATAAATCCCACGTTTCTTTGTAACGTTTTCATTTGTACTCGAATCTTTACAAAAATATATATATAAAGTTATGATTTTTTATGAGTTTTCATATGACACTAATATTTCATATATAAATTTTTTAAAAGACATGAAGTTTGAACTACTGGAAATTTGCAGACAATTATTTTTTCCTTAAATAGTTTCAAGTGTTAAAATTCAGATCTCATGGTTAAAATATTTTCTTACGCCTTTAAATTTTTATTTACAAATAAATCTGAAATAGCAACAAAAAATTAAACTCCAAATTTAATTATTTTTACATCGGAGTGTTTGACTTCTTAAATCATAATTATTCACAATTTATTTTGGCAAAAATCAATCACATAAATTGAAAAATAAAATGATGGATAAAAAAAAAGTAAGACATTAATTAGATAAACTTTGCTGAAAAATATATTAATTGTTATGGATTGCAGTAAAACCTGAATTTTCTTTATCTATTTCAGTAAGAGTTTCTTAACTCTTACCCCCACCGACGTTTGTTGTTTAATTTTTGGGGAGATAAAAAAATGTGTTTACTTGTACGGAATTAGTTTTCATCCATGATAGTCTTTGTATTCTATCGAAGAGCAAACTTTGAATCAATCACCTCAAAACAAGCCACCTGAGTCGTTATGTAACACCATCCCGAAGTATATTTACTTTTTACCAAATTATGTATTGAACCTTGAGGAATGGTTATTAAACTTACGAGGTTGTAAATTTTTGTTATTCATTTCGCATGTTTAGTAAAATGCACATGGCGCCCACACCGGCAGCGGAGACCACCCGATATACCGGGACCACATATTATATTCATCTTCGTCTAGATGATATTTATATGATAGTGTATATTCATGGCTGGGCCATAGAAACGATGTATAGTTGGCCGGTGGGTCAAACGAGGTCCATATACCAGTATTGATATTTTGACAGATAACAACCCGTAATAAATTTTGGGGACTTCTTAATTAAAGTTGGGGAATATATATTCATCATAGAGGCCCATAGTGATTGGGATGATGATATATTGTCACGCCCCAGACCGCATCTAAGCGTGTGTACAACCGTCGTATAACTAAGTGACGTCACCCGCAAGTCAACGTGACTTAGTCACACAAGGTGTCCATCAACATAGTCCATACCATACTCAGTAAGTAAACATACATAACAACATCACATATTTGGATTGAACGAATAGCGGAAATATTCAATATTCAATCATGGACCACACATGGCCAAAACGTAGGCACGCAGGCCCAAAACAAATGTATTTATTACAAAGTATCCATGAGCATAGTTTATAGTTTAAAACAGTAAAGGAAGTCACCCGCAAGTCAACGTGACTTAGTCACACAAGGTGTCCATCAACATAGTCCATACCATACTCTGTAAGTAAACATACATAACAACATCACATATTTGGATTGAACGAATAGCGGAAATATTCAATATTCAATCATGGGCCACACATGGCCAAAACGTAGGCACGCAGGGCCAAAACAAATGTATTTATTACAAAGTATCCATGAGCATAGTTTATAGTTTAAAACAGTAAAGGAAGCACGAACCACGTCTTCCTTTAGATCACTTCACCGAGCAAGGTGAGAATATCAAGCTTGAGCTTCAACCTGAAATGGTGGCCCCCCCGAAGGGGTCAATACAAGTACCGAGCGAGTAGCAGGCTAAATGTAGAATAACTAACGTTTCAAGTATAAGACCCAAACATAGGGTGATACATATACATGTAGTCTTTCCCCCCTAGTTATGAAATACATATCAATATATTTATACACTTGGAAAATACTCAACCCGTAGGTCATCATTTATTTGGGAAAACAATAGTAGTCAATATCCTTGACTAAAAACCCATCCCACCCATATACCTATGAGTGTATAGAACTCCTCCGGGTTCAAATCAATTATCATAAGGACACCGCCCGGTCATAAATCATTAAAATGTAATATATGAGTTTTGAGGATACACGCCCGATCCTTGGGTACTACACCCTATAACCGAGTTTTGAGGATAAACGCCCGATCCTTTGGTACTCCACCATATAACCGAGTTTTGAGGATAACCGCCCGATCCTTGGGTACTCCACCCTATAACAGAGTTTTGAGGATAACTGTCCGATCCTTGGGTACTCCACCCTATAACCGAGTTTTGAGGATACACGCCCGATCCCTGGGTACTCCACCCGACCTATGACTTACCACATATCACACTAGATAGGGTCTACATCATATCTTACTAAGGACTAAACCAAGTCTTGGAATTTAAATCAATAGATATCAAACCTTGCCATTTAAATACCATATTCCATGCAATTCCTTGCACAACATACTTACATAAGATGGCCGGGGTTAATCCCCCCTTCGAACCGGACCCCGAACCGCATTTTCGGCGAAAACGGAATCCGATGGCAGCAGCTTAACCGGCACCGGTTAGGCCCTATAAGGCTATAACCGGCGCCGGTTACGTCCGGGACTTTGGGTCAACGGCCCGTTGACCCTCGAGTTGACCCCCGAAACGTGCTCCGTTTGGCCCGAAATTTTTATACAATATATATCATGTCTAAAACCATCAATAAATGCCATTTTGGCCATCTAAAGCATCACATATGTTTTTATATACATTTTATACTTTTCACATGCATAATCATGTAGCTTCATTCACATAAGCCTAATTACCTTGGCTAATCGCATGCTTAAACTCTTTTAAACATCATTACAAATACTTATAACATTCATTTAGGTAATCTCATAAGTAACCCAAGAGTTATAAGACATTAAGCCGTCCACTCACCTCGAATGAGCGTTATGAGGTTCTACCCTTCTCGGTTGAACTCCGACGAACTTTGACGAACTCCGGCGATAACTCCGGAGACTCTTTCAACTTCGTGAAAGTTCTTGAATCACCTTTGACAAGTGCCTAACAAGGGTTTATCATCACAACACCCATATCAATACAAATAACCTCTAAAAGGTTATTTTCCTGCGAACCGGTCTCTTTGGCTTCTAAGTTCGTTCTTGGACTTAGAACCACCTTTCAACCCATCGTTCCACACTTTTAACATGTGGAACTACCCCAAGGGTATGTAATATGATCTATAACTTATATGAAAATCAAAAGATAGGAGAAAAGTTGTTCAGGAGCTTCTTACCTTTCTTCCCAAGGTTTTTCTCTACTTTTGCAACTCTTTCTCCTTCCTTGAGTTCCTTGCTTTTGGAGCTTCCTTCAACAATGGAGATGGAGGTTTTCAGAGCTCTCTCTCCTTGGTGTCTTGGTCGAGGTTGATAGGGGTGTGGGAGTGAGGAGACCTTCCTCCTTGTCTTACTTAACAAATAAGTGTGGGAGTAAGGTCCACACTTGCAATCAGCCTAAAAGACTTCTTTGTTATTATTGTCTTTCTCTCTCTTTTTTTTTGACCCGGAAGGCTTTGTTATTATTGTCTACTTTAACACAAATGAATAGAGTCACTATAAACAAGTCATTTAGGTGGGTCTTTATTATGAAAAGTTTACAATTTTTTATCAAGTAAAAAAGCATGGTAAAAAATAAGTAGTATTAAAATAAGGGTATATTACTAAGTGTGTATTTAATTGTACTGATTTTTTTTTGTCTAGTCTGATTTGATATGATCTGAATTGATTTGATCTGCACTGATAAATGTTTGATTCATTTGTATTTATTAATTGTCAAAATCTGATCTGTTTAAATCTATTCTGACCTGATCTATTTAAATCTGTTATGATCTCTTCTCTTTTGGTTTGTGTCTAAAAATGATCCTAATAAAAACATTATAAGTCCTGTTTTTAGCTCATTTTGATGATTTAAAACTGATCAAGTAAAAAAAAAACTAGGAGTATCTACTGACGTAAATTATCAAAGTTGACCGCAACTTCGGGTTGTGCATCTCCTTTGGCTCCGAGGCGGGGACTTTTGGCGCAACTCTCGGCATTAGACAATAGACAGAAGACAGCATACTTTGAGAAATGAACTTTTTTAAAGTCCCGGCAAGATCAGCTTTCGACGGCAAGAATCCGCCATTAATTTCTCGCTCAAGCTAACACTACTTTTACTAACTTTAGGACTACGGTTAACGGAGTATTTTATTCCTCATTCTCTCTCAAGTCTTAACGCTTTATTTCTCACAAGCTTCATATTCCTTACGATTCTCCTGTTTCTGAATTACTTTGTATACTAAACGCATTCGTTTTGCAGTTATCACTCAACCATCGAATTAAGGTACGTTTTGCTGTATCAAATTGTTTCGGAAATGGAAAGAAGCTACTGTTTTATTCCGTTGCAGAGTAGAACCCGTAGTTAATTTCTTCACTGATTGTTCCATTTCGTTGCTCAAAAGTATGATGTTGTGTAAAAGACTAAAAACCCGGAGTTCATTCGATTCATTCAAATTTTCTGCTGAACTCTTTGAGGTGTTTGGTGCACTGATTTTTCCTGAGCCAGATCATCTGCCTGGTTCAAAGTCAGGAGTCTGGGTAAAATACTATTTCTACACCCTCATTTATGCAGCCATTGCAATTACAGTCTATCCTTACTTTTCCAAAAAAACATGACTAGATAATGGCCATAGTTTGATGGATTTTCCTCAACTTATCAAGTTTAGTTCCACATTGGATGCTGGTTGACAGGGATAGATGAAAATGCCACACCACGTAGGATTGTAGGAATGCGAACATCCCCGTACAAGAATGTTATTTTAGTGCAGTTGCAATAGGTCTAGATTTGTAGTTTTAAAAAAGGATTTGAACTGTTTAAGGTTTAACCAATGAGGTAATGATAAACAAAAGGGCAGCCCGGTGCGGCGATGCCTATTATTATCATTATCTCATCTGTTAAACCTTTCAAAGTCCAAATCCTTTTTAAAGACCACAAACAAATGAGGTAATGATAAACAAAAATAAATACAAAATACTGTTACCGATTTACTACACAATACAAAGTAGGTATAGAACATTCTAACTTCTTTTGATCCCATTGCAGATTTTTATTTGCTTGTTTACCAATTTTCCATACGTGGGTATAGGTTTTGTATCTTGTCATAGATGGATATGGATCGTGGACTTAGAAGGTTGCCCGAATCCTCTTTAAGCAGATTCAAACCGGTGAAGGAGGTCAATTTTTCTACCTTTCAACAATCATTAGATATTCCAGACATCCACAAGGATGCCCCTTCAATCACACACTCTCCTAACCTTGGTAATTATACTCCTACCGTCAGCTATGGTCCTATACATAAGTACCTTATACAGTTTCTATTGGAGGAGGAGAGCATTGATGGGAACAACCCAGACAAGTCTTTTGATCCCATTGCTCTTAGGGCTGCTGAGAATTTCTTCCATGAAGCCTTGTGTCACAACCCTTCATCACCTGTTGACAGCAATGCAGGAAGCTCCAGGTATGATGTTGAGCGTCACGATCTCTACAACTCTGACACTCTCTGTATTGTCGATCCCATAGAATGTAAATCATCTGTACCAAGTGATCATCCTGATGTCCCTATCGAGTCATCATCAAGTCAGACTAACTCTGATAGTGCAATTGTTTCTCAAATGGACGTTTTCCTAAGTGCTAATTCGGTTCCAAAGATATCTTATAATGATGATATTGGATCCATCTTGCAATTTAAGAAAGGTGTGCTTGATGCTAATCGATCCTTTCAAGCTGATAAACACTTGGTTATTGATTTGGATAAATACTCAGTTTCTCCACACATTGAGGAATTGACCAGAGATAATGTTTTCAAAATACAGAAAGGCCTTTCAGCTGATCTTTGTAGAGGAAAGAAACATTACCATCGAGACGAAAGTGGGTTAGAAGAAGAATGCAAAAGCAAGCACTCTGCAATCTATAAGGAGGAGGTTGAGTTATCGGAAGTGTTTGATAAAGTTTTGCTGTGTACCGATGATAATGATGATCCATCCAGAGTCGGCACACAACAGAATAAGCGAAGTGGTCGTAAGAGCCATTTAAAGAAACGAAGAGATGGTTGTGAAGTTGTGGATCTGGAGTCTCTTTTGATGGGCTGCGCACAATCTATTGCTGCTGCTGAGTATAGGGATGCAGCAGATCAATTACAAAAGATAAGGCAGCACTCTTCACCTACCGGCAATGCAAACCAGAGGATGGCCAATTATTTCGCTGACGGTCTTGAGGCACGACTGGCTGGAACTGGGACAAAGCTGTATTTGGCTTTATCTCCTGATAACAGCATAATTGTTGAGATGCTAAAATCCTACTTGACTTCTTGGCCATTTATGAGATTATCGATTTTGTTTGCAAATAGAATGATTTTTGAAGTAGCGTCAAAAGGTGCATCGCTGCACATTATAGATTTTGGCATTCTTCATGGTATCCAGTGGCCCACACTTATTCGGGATCTTTCGCAAAGACCTGGTGGCCCTCCAAAACTTCGAATAACAGGGATTGAGCTTCCCCAACCTGGTTTTCGTCCATCACAAATGGTAGAGGAGACTGGTTGTCGCTTGGCAAAATATTGCGACCATTTTGGTGTACCATTTGAGTACAATGCCATAACAATAACAAATTGGGAGAGACTTAAGTTAGATGATTTGCAGCTTGTGAGTGGTGAGGTGATTGCTGTGAACTGTTTGCTTCGATTCAAACACTTGTTGGATGAAACAGCAGTTGGTGCGGACAGCCCTAGGGATGCTGTTCTAAACTTAATCAGGGAAGTAAATCCTCATATATATATGCAAACTGTTACTAATGGATCTCAAAACTCTCCTTTCTTTATAAGTCGTCTTCGAGAGGCTCTCTTCTTCTATAGTGCTATCTTTGATTTGCTTGATGCTACTTTACCACGCCAAGACAATCAGAGACTGAATTTGGAAAAAGAAGTTGTGGGACGCGAAATAATGAATATTGTAGCATGTGAGGGAAAGGAAAGATTACAAAGGCATGAAACATGGAAGCAGTGGCACTCTCGCATCATGAGGGCTGGGTTCAAGCCCATGGTTATAAACCCTACACTTGCGAAGAATTTAAGACGCCGGGCAATGGAGGGATATAACAAAGATTTTCTGTTTCTGGACGATGGCAATTGGATAATGCAAGGATGGAAAGGTCGGATTCTGGGCGGCTCCTCTTGCTGGGTAGCTGGACGAGAGACTCACAACCTGTGATTGTGTTAGAGCCACTGGTAGCCTGCCATTTAATAATAATATTAGCTATTTTGACAAAGTGTATGTTAGAGGGAATAAGAAGTAGCTGGAATTGTATTTGGGGAAACGGAAAGGGGTTCTATAAATAGATAGCTAATAATAGAATAAGGAGGCTGGTATTGTTTCATTTGGGCTGGGACTTGGGACTTGGGACTTGGAGAGTGGCTCTTTTTAAACTGCATTTTATAATTCTCTCTCTACAATTTCTGTTATACGATATCTCTTTCTTCATCCTTGATTCTTGAATTTACTTTGGATTAGTTAGGCCTCTAACAGATAGTTAGAATGGTAACTATTGGTAAGTAGTGTTTCTGCTCAACGGAAACATTAGAGTAACCTTTCAGCAATTCTTATTTCATGTTTTCTCTTGTTTCCATATTTGTAAAACACTGCTTGCTAGTTATTTCCATGTAAGGTGTTTGAGAACATCATTCATGGTGGTTCTCTAGTTTTGTATTTTCCTCTTAACAACATTATAAGAGTGAATATTGTCAGGGTATGATGGTAATAAAAGTTGGTGTCTCTTGATTCATAATCTGATTGTACTTTATGATTACTTTGTTGCACATCAAACATATTTGTAGCTTCCTTCGCTAACGGACGTCTTAATACATGTTACATCCTGCGGTTTGACTTTCTTTTCCGTTATTCCATTAGTAGAAGCAAAACTCTCCACTGCTTTTATTTCCAGCTATATTGAAACAGTTGTCCTTTCACCTCCCTCTTCTCCGTTCCAGCCTCAACATTTCCCTGTGTTCCACAGTAATGGCTTGTAGACATCAGTTTAGTCAGTAGAAGGTAATTGGATTGTCGAATATAAATGTTCCACTAACCTTTGTTAAATTTGTGACTCATTTAGAATAGTCTTTAACACTCCATATACAAAGCGTAGTTCAATGAGGGAACAATAAAGGTTGGTTACTGATTAACAAAACGATTGGTCTTCTGTGCAAATTGGAGAGTGAATTCATTCAGCTGATTTACCGAGCTTGAGGAATCAGTAAGGTCTAACCAATGTTCTTTGGTTTTTCAAGTGATGAAGTTTATGTTAGAATATCGTAAGAAGCTGAGGGGAAGAATGTGATTGATGAAATCATAAATCCCCTCACTTTCGCTATCCTTATTCTATGGCGTCACTCCCTTCCCTGGCCCCTGCTCTCCGATTCCTTCTTTTACCCACCGAAGTCTTCAAACAAGAACTAGAAGGAAAGCTTCTAATTTATTGATCATTAATTAATATTTTGCTATTTAACTTAATTAATCTTTCCCTTACCAGTGTGGCTTGCCAGTGTTTTTGGTAGGGGTGGGAAAAACCGAACCGAAACCCGGAAACCGACCCTGGACCGACCCTAATTATGATCCCGGTCCGGGTTTTTCTTTTTAACCGTCCCGAATTAAAAAAAACGGATTGAACCCGAAATTCCGGGCTCATTAACGGGCCTTAAAATCTATAACCCGGCCCGGACCGATAAAACCCGAAACAATTAGCTTTAATATAAAATTAATATAATACTCATATATGAATATAAATTTATAAATATTTCATAATATATGATTATAATCACTGTGGATAAAAAAAAATTAGTAACTTGTAGTGACTGCAAATATGTTCAATTTGTTTTGCGTAATGACCATGAAAAATATATTTATAGCAACTCTAGTCACATTTTTATATATAAATTGTATTTCGTAAAATTTTTAAGAAACCTATATTATTTATTTATATGCATCTTAAATAATATATTAAGATAATTATCTTTTTTGGATTTGAATTGTTGGAAATTTTGGAGACTAATATTTTTATTATTATTTGCGGTTTGTATTTTTGATTAATTTTATTTGAAAATAGGTGTTAAAATATAAAAGAACAATGACATATTTCACGTTCGGGCTTTGACCGGCCCAACCCGAACCCGGGCTACCAAAAACCCAACTCGGACCGAATATAATGGGCTTTTTTCCGGTCCCTAATTTTCATAACCCGATACCTTTCGGGTAATTTCCGGATTTAGCAAAAACCCGACCCAGACCGGACCGATTCCGCCCCTAGTTTTTGGTTCTGAGTATTAGAGTACTCTTATCCTTCAGGTGTGTGAGTTATGTTTTCTCTCTAACTATGTTGTTTATGTTATTTTCGTTGATCATTATGAGTTTAGGCGGCTGATGAGTACATTTGCTTGGACAAAATTCGAAATAACAGAGCATAACTAAGTATTCAATTATTGCTTCATTATTTGTTAATCCTCAAACCCACATTTTGGGCTCTCAAACGTCACATTTCTGGATATTTCCCTTCCAGAAGAAACCAGAAATCTTTTAAACTCATCACCTTGTCATCTGGTAATGTAACATGGTATCTTTATTATTTCTCTTACTCCTTTATAGTTTATACCTTCTTTTCTTTTGGTGATATGAACATTGGATTCCCATGGAGTGAAGATTTATTATAGATTAATTGCTGAATTTAGATTATGCTCATAAGGGCATCCACATCCATAGATTATTTTTGAGATCATTTTGATGATGTGGAAGATTTTTTGGGGGATCATGGATGAGGAGTTGAGATTTTTTTATGAGATTATTTGATAAAATAATCTGGTATCAAATTCTAAAGCTGGATTATTTTTAGATTATGTCCAACTTCTAGGCATATACTCATAATTATGGTGATAACTAGCTTTGTAGTTCGTGCATGCTCATGCTCCTATCTAAGGTAAATTAAGATCATGAGGAGAAATTTATTGGTTTGGAGATTATTTGAGATTATTTTATGTAGAGGTGACATGACAATAATAAATCATGAAAAACCGTAAAGTTGAAGATCATCAATGTGGATGCTCTAAGGTGTTTGATAAATTGTTGTTTTGATTGATTTTAGTTATATTTCCCTGTCTTGAAAACTGGTCCGTGGAAATGCATTTTTGGCATTCTCCTTCATATCAACAAGGAATCTGATTGAAATTAGGGTATATTTGGTTCAAGGTAATCACCTATGCAGGCCGGAATCTCATGCCCGGAATCTGAAATATCTGTGTTTGATTCGTAGGTTTATTTTTATGGGGGGAATGTCACATTCCAAAAAAGAAGAGAAAGTAATAGGATGTCCCTCCATCTCAAACCCACTCAACTCTTAAGTTATCTTACATTCCTTGGTGGGAGTGAATTTTATTCCAAAAATACTCATTCTCATTTAACCAAAATGGTTTAAATAGCATACAAAGTATTTATTTTTTATTTTTCTTAACCTATCCGCATTGGAATTTTTTAAAACAAACTCATCCGTATTGAATTAAGAAATACAAAATGTATACTTTTGAATTTGATTTATTAAAAATTAATGAATAAATTACATATTTATGACTAAAATAAAGATTGTTTACAAAAATGTGAGTAGTGACTACAGTAGTAATTTAATCATAATAACTTATATTGAACTTTTAAACTTAAATGATCATGATAACTTAATATAAGAGGAGGTAGTGGTGTTATTATTAAGAAAAAAGGAGTTAATGTGGTTGATAGTGAATAATAAATTTAGAATAAAGTAAGAATGATTTAGAAGCTAAGGATCAAACATTAATTTTTTTCACTAGTGGTTGATAGTGAATTACCTTTAGTAGGAGTAAAATTTAACATGCAACTTTTCCTTAAATAGGAGTCAATATCTAATATTTCCCAAGTAGGATCAACCATTAATTTTCTACCCCTAATCTAATTAATTAATTGCCCCCTAAGTCCATGAATAATCAGGTCATTCTATTGGTGACATGTGGTCCATTGATTTTTTGATCGATGAAATACGTAGGCTCCTATCGATGAAGACATTCTTTCTTGGGACCCTGACGATTGTAATAAGGGTATTACGAGAAAATATTTTTAAGGGCATTGAAGTAATTCACCAAGTTTGTTGTATAATACTAGTATATGATTTAACCAAACAAGTTAATGTTTAGTCTCAACCAAACACAAATGGGTACAAATTGAATACATTCCCATCAATCTAACATACCCAGCAATCTGACATTCCCATGGTAATCTGACATTCCTTGAACCAAACATACCCTTAGTATTATGTTGTTTTGCATAAGATGTGGCTAAGATGAAATAGGTAAACTCTGTGAACATCTCATTCTATGACTTTAGTAGGGCTGGGCACGGGCCGAGTCGGGGCGGGTAATGCAAAATAAAATGGAATCGCCGGTTCCATTGTCCGGTCTGGTCCGGGTATTGCAATTTTCAAAATAGGAACCGGACCTTACCCGGCCTGTTTGAAACGGATCGGTCCGGTCCGGGTTTTACGGTTTCTATTCCCATGTCTTAAAATTAGTAAAAACTCACAAAGTTCCAAAAATCGATAACCAAAAAATGTTGACTTTGCAAAACAATTTGGGACGGAGGGAGTAGTATATTACCAAGTTTCAAAATAACAACATAGTGATGCACATGTAACACAAGTGACAAGTCCAATACTCCATAGTTTCATGTATATAAGTTCCAAACAATTAAAGAAGTTCCAAAAATCAGCAACATAGCCAAAATACATATTTTCTAACATTTGAATTTAAATTTTTTTGTCTAACATCACATATTAAGGTGATTGTGTTTTTTTTATTAAATTTTCAGTATTAGCCAAAGTAGACACATACATGAAAGAACAAATACTTAAATTCCCTAGAAAGGAATAATTCAATAACAAGAAAAAGTAATAAGAAATTTATGTAAAATTTAATCAATAATTTGAAAGCAAAATGATGTTACTACAACTCAATTTGAAATCCCACTTCTAGCAAATGAAAACAAAACTATTTCAAAACCGATTATCACAAAACTATTAATAAATTAATATACAATATATATAACGGGCCGGGCCGGGTACCCGATATTTTTTTTATTTTGGAACCGGCCCGGAGCCTTAAAAAAAATTACCCGGACCTATCCTACCCGAACCGTTTTGGACCTGAACCGCCATTACCCGGACCGGACCGCGGTTCCAAGACCCGTTTGCCCATCCCATTCTTTGCAAAATGGATCTAAATTTAATAATGACGATGAAAGACTTAATGTTGAGATTAGGACCGTCTCAATATTATTGAAGACCCAAGACAAACTAATGTAGAGGCCTCCAAGAGTCCAAGTACATGTCCAATTTTTATTTGTAATAAAAAATTCACCAATAAATGGCCAAATCAGTTTCATAATACGAAGTATAAAGAATAAGGTATTATGGAACGAGCCTACCAAATATGGTGGCCCTAATAATTTTACGACATACAAGTTCAGAAAATTGACTATTTTAATGCCTTTGTGGCCATTAATGGTCCTTTTAATTTGCATGGTGTTAGCCACTATTACATCTTAGTAAAAACTGAGACCACCCCACTCCCACCTGAAGACGTATTTTCGATTTGTTGGTATTTAAGCCCTCTTGGACATACTTTTATCAGGAGAGATTTACATTATAATTTTATGGTACTTAAATCAAGCTACTATATTCATTGTTTACTCATCATGAACTTCCTGCACCACTATATTTTCAAAGAAAAAGTTCATGTTTAACTCTCTAAGCTCTCTCATGTTGTAAAATAACAGAGAGCTTATTCTAATTGATTGGCTTTTTTAGTTTATTAGCTTTGTGAAAGGACGCTTGGTTGCAAGTGTTTTTGGTTCTAAGTATTCGAAAATTCTTTTATCATTCATGTGTGCGAGTTATGATTTATCTCTAAATTTGATGTTTATGTTATTAATAAAGCTTCACGTATGCTTATTTACTAAGAATAAGAGGACATCTCGAGATTTAGAATCTCAGTGGCATCTCATTATTTTGAAATTTGAACACTTCACAACCCCTTTCAGTAATTTGCTCTTTTTTCCATGATTATTTTCTTTTGTTCAACTACATAAGACAAATTAATTTTTTTTTCTTCAAAATCATTAGCCTTGAAAGAAAAGACAACCTGTAATTTCGGCCTTTGCCTTTCCCTCACTAAAGCATTATAATTACTTGAGTTGGTTTTGTTTCTTCTTCTCAATCTTCAACTTAAAATATTAATTTCTGTCCATTTTAAATACTTTACTATGTTGTGTTCTAATGGAAGCATGTTTTCGTAGCCCTAAATAAATGATTTGTATCCTTGTTATAATATTATTATCATCATCATGATTAATAATACTAATATTACTATTGTTCTTACTTTGGGAATAACAAATTGTTTACAACTAATAGATTATCATGGTATTGTTTAACCATCACCATCCTCATCTATAACAAGATTGCACTGCAGTTATGAATTTTTAAATAATTTTGAACAGCAGTTTCTAATCCATGATATGAATCCAAATTAAAAAAACTGCACATTATGTCATGGAGTTTGAGTTTTGTTTTTACTTTTATGTGTCTGCTTTCATAAATCTGCCCTTTAATTTGTCAAAATCCGGTTATTAATTAAAGACTTGACTAATTATGTTTAATGTCTCATACTATAAAGCATGTTTAGGTTGACCGTACAAGGTACATGTTGAGATATATTATCTCGGCCTACTACTACTGTTTAGGGGCCCAGGACATTCCCCACCTTGGAGCCCGATCGATGAGGCCCACTTCAGCCTATCAGGCATGTTACGGTCCGTTGGGCCCATTTTGGCGCATTTGGCCCGTTAGGGCAACCTAGTACCCCTCCCCTATGTTCTATAAATAGGAGCTTTGTAATAACTCCATTAATGGAAGCTTTTGTACTATGTAACAAAGGGTGAGGAGAGCATTAATAAAAGGTTAGAGCTTGGACATTAGCATGAAAAGTCCCATAATTTTCTCCCTTTCGGGCTTACACATAAAAACAGAAAGTTCTTTATTATTTCGTGTTGGATTAAACTCAACAGTATATCGTATATCGCATAGTGCATTGACAACATAAATTAATGCATATAATTATGAGCCCCTTTCTTTAGAGGCTACAAAGAAGAGGAAGCCCTTAACCATGGACTAAAAAACATCACAAAATAGGCGCTAAAAATGTGAGTGGTTGATATTTTGTTCCAACTCGCTGGGTATAAGATTTAGGCACTACTAACGAAGATATCTTGAGGAGCAGTTCATGTTATCTACTGACGTAAACTAGGGCTGGGCACGGGCCGGGTCGGGGCGGGTAATGCAAAATAAAATGGAACCGCCGGTTCCATTGTACGGTTCGGTCCGGTCCGGGTATTACAATTTTCAAAATAGGAACCGGAAATTACCCGGCCCGTTTGAAACGGGTCGGTCCGGTCCGGGTTTTACGGTTTCTATTCTCATGTCTTGAAATTAGTAAAAACTCACGAAGTTCCAAAAATCAATAATCAGTAATATAGGACATTAGCAAGTTTCAAAATAACAACATAGTGGTGCACATACAACACAAGCGAAAAGTCCAATACTCCATAATTTATTGTATATAAGTTTCAAACAATTAAAGATATTTCAAAAATATGCAACATAGCCAAAATACATATTTTCTAACATTTTTATTTAAACATGTTGTCTAACATCACATATTAAAGTGATTGTTTTTTTTTATTGAATTTTCAGTACTAGCCAATTTATATATTTTAATAACAATGTAATAAAAAATATATAACAAAATCATCTTTAATCAATAATTTGAAAACAAAAGGATGTTACTGCAACTCAATTTAAAATCCTACTTCTAGCAAAGGAAACAAAACTATTTCAAAACCGATTATCACAAAACTACTAATAAATTAATATACAATAGATATAACGGGCCGGGCCGGGTACCCGTTATTTTTTAATTTTGGAACCGGTCCGGTTCCTTAAAAAAAATTACCCGACCCTACCCGGACCGTTTTATGACAACAAAAAATGGAACCGGCCCGTTTTGGACCCGAACCGCCATTACCCGGACCGGACCGCGGTTCCAAGACCCGTTTGCCCACCCCTAACGTAAACTATCAAAGTTGACCGCAACTTCGGGTTGTGCATCTCCTTTGGCGGGGACTTTTGGCGCAACTCTCGGCATTAGACAATAGACAGCATACTTTGAGAGATGAACTTTTTTAAAGTCCCGGCAAGATCAGCTTTAGACGGCAAGAATCCGCCATTAATTTCTCGCTCAAGCTAACACTATGATACCAACTCGCTCAAGCTTCATATTCCTTACTATCTCCTGTTTCTGAATTACTCTCTATACTAAGCGCATTCGTCTTGGAAAGAAGTTAAGGTACGAGCTCATATTAAATTGATACGGAAATGGAAAGAAGTTACTATTTTATTCCGTTGCAGAGTAGAACCCATAGTTAATTTATTCACTGATCGTTCAATTTCATTGCTCAAAAGTATGATTTGTGTAAAAAACTGAAAACCCGGAGGTCATTCGATTCACTGTTTAATTCAATGCTTGGTCTTGTTGAGTCTCAATACACCCTTTTTAGGGAAAAAATCAAATTTTCTGCTTCTCTTTGAAGTGCTTGGTGCTCTGATTTTTCCTGAGCCAGATCCCCTGCCTGGTTTAAAGCCAGGAGTTTAAGGGTAAAATGATCTTTCTACACCCTCATTTATGCAGCCATTGCAATTACAGTCTATCCTTACTTTTGCAAAAAAATATGACTAGATAATGGTCATAGTTTGATGGATTTTCCTCAACTATATCAAGTTTAGTTCCCCATTGGTTAATGGTTGACAGGGAGAGATGAAAAGGCCACAACAAGTCGGGTTGTAGGAATGTGAACATTCCCATACAAGAATGTTATTTAGTGTAGTTGCAATAGGTCTGGATTTGTAGTTTTTAAAAAGAATTTGGAATTTTTAAGGTTTAACAATGAGGAAATGATAAAAAAAAAAGGCAGCCCGATGCCTATTATTATCATTATCTCATTTGTTAAACCTTTCAAAGTCCAAATCCTTTTTAAAGATCACAAACGGATGAGGTAATGATACAACAAAAATAAATACAAAAGATTGTTATCTAATTACTAGACAATACAAAGTACATTCTAACTCCTTTTGATCCCACCACAGTTTTTTATTTGCTTGTTTACCAATTTTCCATATGTGGGTATAGGTTTTGTATCTTGTCATAGATGGATATGGATTGTGGACTTAGAAGGTTGCCCGGCTCCTCTTTAAGCAGATTCAAACCGGAGAGGGAGGTCAATTTTTCTACCGTTCAACAATCTTTAGATATTCCAGACATTCACAAGGATGCCCCTTCAATTACACACTCTCCTAACCGTGGTACTTATTCTCCTACTGTCGACTATGATCCTATTCATAAGTACCTTATACAGTTTCTATTGGAGGAAGAGAGCATTGATGGGAACAACCCAGACATGTCTTTTGATCCCAGTGCTCTTAGTGCTGTTGAGAATTTCTTCCATGAAGCCTTGTGTTACAACCCTTCACCGTCTCGTGACAGCAATGCAGGAAGCTCCGGGTATGATGTTGAGCATCATGATCTCAATAACTCTGACACACTCTGTATTGTTGATCCTAGAGAATCTAAATCATCTGTGGCAAGTGATCATCCCGATGTTCCCATCGAGCCATCATCAAGTCGGGCTAACTCTGACAGTGCAATGGTTTCTCAAATGGATGCTTTCCTAAGTGCTAACTCGGTTCCAAAGATATCTTGTAATGATGATATTGGGTCCATCTTGCAATTTAAGAAAAGTGTCCTTGATGCTAACCGATTCTCTCAAGCTGATAAACACTTGGTTATTGATTTGGATAAATACTCAGTTTCTCCACACGGTGAGGAATTTACCAGAGATTATGTTTTCAAAATACAGAAGGGCCTTTCAGCTGATCTGTGTATAGGAAAGAAACATTACCATCCAGACGAAAGTGGGTTAGACGAAGAAAGCAAAAGAAAGCACTCTGCAATCTATAAGGAGGAGGTTGACTTATCGGAAGTGTTTGATAAAGTTTTGCTGTGTACCGATGATAATGATGATCCATTTAAAGTCAGCACACAACAGAAAAGGAGAAGTGGCTGTAAGAGCCATTTAAAGAAACGAAGCGATGATAGTGAAATTGTGGATCTAGAGTCTCTTTTGATGGGCTGCGCACAATCTATTGCTGCTGCTAATTATAGGGATGCAGCAGATCAGTTACAGAAGATAAGGCAGCACTCTTCACCTACCGGCGATGCAAACCAGAGGATGGCCAATTATTTTGCTGACGGTCTTGAGGCTCGACTGGCTGGAACTGGGACACAGCTGTATTTGACTTCTCTCGATAAAGCCATACATGTTGAGATGCTAAAATCCTACATGTCTTCTTGGCCATTTATGAGATTATCAATTTTCTGTGCAAATAAAATGATTTATGAAGTAGCGTCAAAAGGTGGATCGCTGCACATTATAGATTTTGGCATTCTTCATGGTATCCAGTGGCCCACACTTATTCGGGATCTTTCACAAAGACCCGGTGGCCCTCCAAAACTTCGAATAACAGGGATTGAGCTTCCCCAACCTGGTTTTCGTCCATCACAAATGGTAGAGGAGACTGGTTGTCGTTTGGCAAAATATTGTGAGCGTTTTGGTGTACCATTTGAGTACAATGCTATAATAATAACAAATTGGGAGAGACTTAAGATTGATGATTTGCAGCTTGTGAGTGGTGAGGTGATTGCTGTGAACTGTTTGATTCGATTCGAACACTTATTGGATGAAACAGCAGTTGGTGCGGACAGCCCTAGGGATGCTGTTCTAAACTTAATCCGGGAAGTTAATCCTCACATATATACGCAAACCGTTACTTGTGGATCTCAAAACTCTCCTTTCTTTATAAGTCGGCTTCGAGGAGCTCTCTTCTTCTATAGTGCTGCATTTGATTTGCTTGATGCTACTTTACCGCGCCATGCCAATCAGAGACTGAATTTGGAAAAAGAAGTTGTGGGACGCGAAATAATGAATATCTTAGCATGTGAGGGAAAGGAAAGATTACAAAGGCCTGAAACATGCAAGCAGTGGCACTCTCGCATCATGAGGGCTGGGTTCAAGCCCATGCTTATAAACCCTACAGTTGCGAAGAATTTAAGCCGCCGGGCTAGGGAGGGATATCACAAAGATTTTCTGTTTCTGGAAGATGGAAATTGGATAATGCAGGGATGGAAAGGTCGGATTCTGGGCGGCACCTCTTGCTGGGTAGCTGGACGAGAGACTCACAACCTGTGATAGTTAGGATGGTAACTATTGGTAAGTAGTGTTTCTCCACATTGGGAACATTAGAGTAACCTTTCAGGCAATACTGCAATTATTATTTCATGTTTTCTTTGGTTTCCATTTTTGTATAACACCGCTTGCTAGTTATTTCCATGTAAGCTGTTTGAGAACATCATTCATGGCGGTTCTCTAGTTCTGGATTTTCTTATTAAAATAAGTGAGATAACATATTATGTTTGTCTAGCTTCAGACATAAATTTTGTGAAAAGCTTAGTCATATGTAATATGTTTTCATGAAACTGCATTATCAATATTTTGGATGTACTCAAAGATAACACATTCTCCAATACTTCGCTTTTAACAATAAGTTGGCATCCATTGAAGATTCCTAGATAAATTTGTGGCGGTCTGTGGATTATGCATGGATATTCTCTACTGAGATTCCTCATAGACTCATTGTCATAGAAATAGGCATGCAACAATAGGAACCTATTAAAGCAATACCTCATTGGTTGGTTAGGTGAACTGATAAACTCACAATATGACACTTTAATCGGGTGTTTTATCTTACATTTTAGGTCATTGCTCACTCTTTGTAAATTAGTTTTTTTTTGCTATTAGTATTGAGCCAATAACGATGAATTGCATTTTCGTGTGCTTTTTATAATATTTAGATAATTTCAGGTGCAAATTATACCAACTCATTGACTTCCAGTATGCACGGGGCATGGAAGCACAGACTGAGTTGGACCATACAAACTCATTCAGATTTAGCTTTTCATTTGGGTCAAAGAAGAATTTAGACTTCATTAAAGGTTCAATGCTGTTGTTTTCCCTTTAGATCTAGTTTTCTCTAGAGTCAAAAAAGGAATTTGGACATCCTTAAAAGTTCAAGTGATAATACTATAGTAGATGGTGAGTATTCGATGAAGAGTTGGCTTGGATTGCTGCTATCTTACCGGTCAACAGGACTCAACCTAACTTTCATCATTTATAACCACATATGGATGGGATTCTTGCGGTATTTTGCTGATTGTCTGACCGGGCTAAACTTGCAAATGTACAAGTGCCGATATAGTAATAAATTCCAGTAAAATACCAAGTCGAATCCACAGGGAAATGTTGTTTAATTTTAGTCCGAGAGTAGAAAACTTTAAATATAGAAATGAGTAAAGTGGAAGGATTTTGAATTATATTTGGTATGAGAACAATGGCTTTAGTTCTCACTTTGATTATTGGAATATAACTTTAAATAGATTGAATTTAAAACAATGGATAACAACAACTAAGGCTTCGTCAATCGCATAAACATTTTTAACTAGTATGATTCAAGTTCTTTGAAAACAATTATGAATACGATGTCGCTAATATATTCAATACTCCGGTCAAGGTAGTGAGAGCGTGGTTTTCGTTACGTGTAAGGATGTTTTCTTTTGAACTGAAATTTGCTGGTCTGGTCTGATCTGGTTTGTTCTGATCTGGTCTGGTCTGGTCTGAATTGGTCTGTTATAGTCTGATAATGTCTGATCTCTGTGTATTTTATAACTACGGAAGTCAAGTCTACTCTGGTCTGGTTTGGTCTAGTTTGGTCTGGGACTGAAAACAGTCCAAAAGAAAGCATTCTAAGCCTCGTTACGGTTTACATTCATCTATTGCAAACCCCATTAAATTTTGACGCGATTTTCGTCATGGTTCATCCGGAAACAGTCTCTCTTTGCTTTAGTACAGCGGTATGTTGTTTTTGTTGTACCCACCCCCTTCGGCCCTCCAACTTATGTTGTCTCTTTCTTTTATTGTCATATTTTCTTATGTGTGCATGCTACATTTGACCGTACTTTAAGCAACAAGTGCATGTTGATTCAAAAAAAAAATTGATCACAGACGCAAAACATTCAGATCCCGACTCTAAATACTTGAGTTGTATGCATGTATGATAACTGGGGCTTAGCTGCTTAGCATCCATCCTTATGACTCCTAACTTCTCATAAACATGATACTTTACACATTCTGTTAATTTTTTTACATAGGAACCAGTCCCTGTCACACAATTTGTGAGAGAAACTGTAGCAGTGATGCAGGAATACACTCAATGAGGGTAACTAATTACTTGATGTACTTTATCTTTTCTTGAATATTTGGCTTTAAAAAAATCTTTTTTACAAAGACATTTCTTGATATTATTAGAATTAATTCCACTTTTGGTCCTTCGAGTTTTGTACCAATTCTACATTTAGTCCACTTCTTTCACTTTGTCCACTTTTGGTACTTGACTAATGTTTTTTAACCGTTTGTGGTCCTTTTCCGGTGATTTTGACCATCGGAAACAATCCCGGAAGGACCATATATGGGCAAAAACATAATAGTCATGTATCAAAAGTGGACAAAGTGAAAGATGTGGACTAAATGTGGAATTGACACAAAACTCGTAAGAACAAAAGTTGAATTTATTCATATTATTATAATACTCTCTCCATATCAACAAGTCTTGCTTGAATGAGGGACGTAGTAATATTTTTTAGTCAACTCAATGAAAGTGCAAACTCTTACAAGTTATGAATTGTCACTTGTCACTACTATTATAGACATGTTACTTCCATGATTATATGGACTAAGGCTCTGTTTGCAACCATTTGTGCTTAAATAAAAGCACTTTTTGGGAAAAAGTGATTAGTAGTAAAAGTTGATAGTGTTTGGTAAAATAAGTGCTTTTTGTGTAATAGAAAAAGTTAAAAGTAGATTCTACACGAAAACCGAGGAAATAAAAGTTGATAGTGTTTGGTAAAATAAGTGATTTTTTCTTAAAAAAAGCCAAAATCACTTTTTTTAATTGATTGCAAACAAGCCCTAATTGCCTTTAGAGGCATTTAAATTAAAAATCAGAAAAAATGCTCTAAATAAAATATAAAAAAATTGCGTATTTCAAAATAGTACTTTTATGTTTTTATTCTCTAAATAGGAATAATCACTGTCATATTCTGGCGGTATTAGATTTGAAACATGACAATATTTTTCAAATTTGATAGTAATTAAAAACATGTCAGTCCTATTTGAAATTTTGAAACGTTTTTACTCCTATACCGAGAATTAAATTTGACTTTTGAAATTAGATTGTTTGTTTAAGACGAAAAATACCTTGAATCAGTGTTTTGTCACGCATGGTATGTAGGCGAGGCGTTCTTGGGCCACCTTCCGCCTAGGCGCGCCTAGGCGCAAGGTGGCCCAAGAACGCCTCGCCTACATACCATGCGTGACAAAAGGCGGCCCAAGAACGCCTCGCTGACATACAATGCGTGACAAAAGGCAGCCCAAGTCACTAAAATTAAAATTTTATTTTATTTTCAACCCAAGTCGGGAGAATTAATTCAACCCAACAAAGTCAGAAGTCAAGCGTAGATGGCATTGGCTTTGGACTTGAGGACTTCACAAGTTTCCAACGCAAAGACCTTCCGGTGTGGGAATTACCGTAATTCCTTCTGGTGTGGGAATTACCGTAATTCCTTCCGGTGTGGGAATTACCGTGAGAAAATTTCAAAAGAGTGCTTGATTTTAAAGGAATAAAACAGCATACCATCAGTGGCATGTAGGGGTGTGCATTAACCGGGTCGAATCATATTTTAGGTCTGAACCGGACCGGAATGAACCGGTCCAGATCGGTCTGGTATTAACAGGTCCGGGTTTCCATCCTTAAGATTTTAAGATTCCGGGTTCCGGTCCGGTCCGTGGCAAACCCGGAAAAAAGAGGTGCAGACCGGTGACCCGTTATATCACTCCGTAAAGGGTAATTCTAAATACACACCATTTTTTACCAACTGCAGCCTCCGTTTAAAACAAATTAGTTACTTTTACAAATTTACCCTTCCTAATAATATACTCCGTATTCTTTTCTATCGGTAAAGTAAGACCCGGCCAGTCTTCATCACAGACTGCACCACCGCACCATGTGTCTCTGCACCCACCGGCCACCGCACTGCTCCAGAAGATTCAGATTAAAGCCAGGTAAAAAAACCAGCACTTTATTATTATTATTATTATTATTATTTTAAAGAATTATTTTTTATTGAAATAAAGGATTACAAGGTAGGGGGACTATAGCCAATACCTACCCGAATTAACAACATACGGATAACTAATTGCATCAAACTTGACAATGCCTACAAACTTATTATAAATGTTCGGGCTGTTTTGAAATGTGCCAAGATATTTAGCAATGAAACTAGCTGCTCGATTACATGGTTTTTTAACGTGAGTAAAGCTAAGATTGGTATTGTGAAACTCTTCCTTAAAAGCTTCCAAGTTGGTTATCTCTTTCCATCTCGGTCTAGCCTTTCCTTTAAGAGTCCGAAAAACCTGCAAGTTATCACATTCAATTATAACATTAGTGTGATTTCTTTCGTTGAGAATTATTTTTATTTTAAGAATAAAAGTAAGTACTTAGTAATCCTCCTGATGCTCCACTGTTCATCACTACTTAATACATATACTCTACTTCTATTCATTTGATTCATTAAAATTTCATCACACAAAGAACTTCCGTTAATAAACTGATTCAGAGGTTGAGCCTGCATCTACTTTTATAAATTACTCATACTTTTTTTTAAACTGAATTTAAAATATGTAGTATCCTTCAACTAATCGTTTTAACGAATTACTTCCTAACAAAAAACTTCCTCTCATGGACTAGATTCAGTAAGAGAGCAAACGGAATTCCATATACCAGCAATAACTCCGGCGAAGTGGGGAAGAGCTTGACAATTGCGCCAGAGGCTAGGACACACCGATAGCGAGGCTTTGGGTACCTGTGGAAAGGAATGAGTTTCTTTGGTGTTAAAGATGGCCTTTTTTTTAATTACGGAGTGATCGGCGTTAGTGCCAAGGAGGAAGTGGTCGCCGTTGAAGATGGCCTTGTGATTAGAGAGTCAAGGAAAACAGCTGTGTTGTTAACTTGTAATAAGGGTACTATAGGTATTACCCGTAGACTACACACATGTTATTATTTTTGAAATTATTACTATTATAATATACTCTGTGATAAGTATTGAAAATGGAATAGTCCTAAATTAGAATATATAAATATATATTTCAAAAAAAGCATATATAATTATTACATATATATATCTCTGCTTATATAATAAGCCCCAAAGTCAGTTAGATAGTCCTTTTCCCGTCCAAATCTAACATTCTAATTAACGACGTTATTCACTGACCTCTCCAATCACATACGCCTCTTCGGCATAGCTCTGCGGTTATCGAACCTCCATCAACCGTCGGCGACCGTCCAGGAAGATTATTACATACGGAGTATAACTTCAAGAGAGAGCGTTGAATATGCTTCTGGCCGTTCCATTTTTTCTGCACCACCAACATGTACTCTTATCACGCAAGTTTGACTTCATTTGCTTCTTTTAATGCATTACTCCCCATTTCATTATATCTTCGTTGCCTTTGAAAAAACTGCGCATCAACTGCTCCTTTTACTTCCCTAATTTCAAATTATATTCATCTACAAACTACAACTAGAGTGGGGATTTCATATATGTAAGATAGAGTTGGGATATTGGGATAGGTTCACTTCTATGCGTATTTGAAGAACTCCAGGAATTAAAAAAGGAGGTATCTTGTTGCTACGTATCTAAAAAAGATTGTTCAGGCTTACGAAGTGCTCTCTAAAAAGTCTCAATGATAGTTCATAACATTAACTGCATCAATCTTTGCAATAGTTATAAGTTATTCTGTATTTCTTCCTTAATGTAAACACAATTTAAACTCTGCACCCTCCTCAAAAGTGTTAGCTAGGGATATCACACTTAAAAGGTCATTCATTGGCAGCCACAAAAGTTACACAATGTCGTACTCCGTATCATTTATAGAACAAATGTCTCAAATGACTAATGTTAGCAGTTAAGTCAACAACGTAGTTAAGGTTGGGTATAGATGTACTATTTTTATCATTTTCCGTTAAGGTTCTTTTTCGTATAAACAGATAACAGATTTTTTTTTTCAGTTATCAAACCGAGAAAGGCCGCTCAAGTAGAGTATATTCTTCCATGTTCTGAATTCTGATCTACTACAATCTCTCTGCACAAGGTTTCTCTTTCTTCCATGTTCTGAATTCTGATATTCTGTAGTTTTTATTTTACTGCAATATTACACAAGGTGGCGAATTTCTGAGACTGAAACAAACGTCCGTTTGTGTTTATTTGAATTTTAATGCCCATAAAATGTTAGGCAAAAAACCATTACAATTGTTCATATCATTATGTGCAGTCATCTATGCAATACTTATTAGTTAATCATTAATCATTCGTTTATATCCAAACAAATTTCTTTGTAGATTGGCTTCATAAGTGTTCTGCGGAGAACTAAATAGCGCATATATGACATCCAAACTACATCACATATCTTCAATTTCTAAAAGAATAAAACAGTTAGCAAAACATCCAAACCAAACTGCACTTTCCATGGACCTCATTTAACCTTTTCAAAACTAGCCATGCTTAAAATAACATTAAAAAGACATGCACTTTGCTGCTTTTTCTAATAGAATGTTAACAATTTGTTGTTATTCTGCTTTATATCTGCTCAATTTGAAAAAATACAGAGGAACTATACTGTATGTGGACTGTATGTGAGCCATATTTCTTGTAGACTTGGTGATTAAGCACAATAATGCTCCAAAAAAAGTATAAACAGCCACGATTCTATGTGTTGTAACTATTTTCTATTTCTATTCAAGAGTAATTTAGTGCGTACAGATGTTTTGAATGTAGGCTTTTACTGTCTATTTGTTTTAACAACAAATTTTATGTGAGTTATGTGTTAAGCTAAAAGAACAACTTTTACAACAAAGGCATAGTGTCATTTACATAATATCATCAAAGTACATAATAGCGTCAAAGTTGATACCTCAAACCTCAGTAATACAGAGTATGTTTTTTTAAGCAAGAAAGCAACCAAATCAGAAATTAAAGAGTGCAACTAACATTTCAGAATTTTTGTCTCCCTATTTGTTGATAAAAAGATACTTGCATGTTTCACTGGATCCTTAATTAACATAGGCATTACTGCTTTTGCATTAATACAATATATCTTCAAGTAAGAAAAATACTGCTACCATCTGTGTTTTCTAGACCAATAATTCAACGAGTAACTTATGAGTTGGTCACCATTGCACATTTTCACTATATTGAGTTTCTAATTATCGAATCAACATATAACTAAGAAAATCATTTGCAGTTTCGTAACTTATAAGTCACAATTACAAAACTGGTTCTAGAACTCATTCTTCTTAAAAACATCTACACCAACAACATTATTTTAAAAAAATGGTGACAAATTATATGTTAATTTTAATCATACCATTTTTATACAAATATTACATTTTCTGATCATTTTCATAGGCACATTCACTAGATAAAGATTGCTACCTGCAAATTCTTACAAAGTGATTGTCTATTATTAAAATGGTTGCCACTAACAATGTTATTAATCACAGAAGCTAACTTGAAAAGTATTGACTTATTTTAATTAAGAGTGTCTCCTGCAGTTTCATAACGTAAATCACATCCACATGATTGTTTCTGACCTTAATTCTTTCAATTATTACTGAAATTATTAGAGGATAGGAGTAAATACGCCCTTAGACTTTTAGCGATTCTACAACCAGGCCCTTAAGCCGAGCCATTATAAATACATCTCTCAACCCATTGAAATATAAATCGAACCCTTTTTACCCCGCGATGCTGGTAAGGCTGTAATTTAATTGTGAGAAGTTACCGGCACCAACATCTAAAAAGAGTTGTTTTTCTTTATTTTCAAAGCGCCGAGGAGTATATATGTATGGTTTTCCAGTTCATTGTTCTGATTTTAGAATTAGAGGATAGGCATATGCATAATCTTCATCATATGTTATCATCTGTAAACCTAAGTGAAGAAATACTAGGGAAACTGGACTTACTATGATTCTCATTAAGGTTCATTTTAGTTGCAAGTTAATAAAGCTTTTATAATTTCTTAATGAAGATTATCCCTTATCTCTCTGGTGTGTAGTTTGAATGGCTCAACTGTACCCAGCTTAGTCATATCAATAATAGCTTATTTATAACGAGACTCTTGAATGTTCTTTGACAAGATTTCTAATAATTTGCTAAACTTATAGACTTGGTTTAAAAAAGCGCGCCTGAGGCGCAAAAAGGCACTAGGCGATAGGTTCATCGCATCTGAATTCCCCAGGCGGCGCAGATTCCCGGAGGCGGCGCTTAATCGACGCCTTTTTACGCCTTTTGCGCGTTTGAGAGGCGCGCGCTTTTAGCGCCTCATGGTTAGTGTCCGATGGAGTTTTTTTACGATTCCCATTCCAAGTTTTTTTTGTCGATTCAGATGCTCTCTCCTTCCAGATAGAATTTTCGCAGGTCCTCACTCCTCACTCCATGAAACTCCTCTCTAGTCTTCTCCTTCCTTCATGCCTTCTGCCTTCTGCGTTAGTTCAGTCCTTCCCCTGTATTTCGCGTAGAAGTTCAGAGTCTTCCAACCGGTTCCTTTCTCTGCTATCTTGAGTCGTAGAGGTAAGTATTTAACTATTTACTTTTCTTTTTTCTTCTGCTATTTATTTTCTTTTATTTTAAGTTGTTATATTTATAAAATTATTTAAATATGTAAATAAAAAGTATTTTTTGAAAGGTATTTAAATAAAAAGTTAGATAACTGATACATATTACTCCGTATTATCTTTTGCTATTTATAAGTTTTGATAGATAACTGAAAAAAGTTTAAATATCTTAAGTTATCAAGTTTATAAAATTAATAAAATTATTTAAATTTCCAAATCAGTCTGCTACAGAGTACAAAATGGCATTTGCGTGATAAGTTATTAATTAAACATGTATTATTTTTATACTTTATTACATAACAATGATAATACTATATAATTTAACGTACATTAAAAGGATGAAAAAATAATTGTTAAAATAGCCTATATAACAAAAGTAGTTTAATAGTACATTGATTTTACATAAACAATATGTATATATTTGGAGTTCTTGCTTCTGTCTTATCGGCTTTAATAAATATTTGTTTCTCTAATGATGTTTATTAAGATTGTTTAATAGTTTAAAGTATTTTTGAGAAGAGTGCTTCATGTAGAAGTACTATAAAAATATTTCACCAAAGAAATGTGGTTGAGATCCGTGAGGCGAGCGCCTCATCGCCTCGCGCCTCGGGTAACTCGATGAAATTGCCTCAAGCCGCCTTATGCCTTTTAAAACCAAGCTTATAGATTGGATGAATCTTCTCACATTCCATGCAACACTCTCTAAGCAAATTGGTTACATCATTTATTTAGATGTTGGAAAGAAATTCTCGCAGCAAGAAACCTTTGATGACCATTGCATCCATATTATGATGAAGAATGAATTCACGAAATTGACTGTTGATTTGAAAGGCCTGGCGCTGGACTGATAGTCTCACAAAGTTTTTTTTAGCTTTTTCCTTAGATTTTGGATCTGTTTTTATCACCAATAGGAGAAGGAAATTTTTGGTATCCGGTGAACTCAATAAACGATAGCTTGCATAGATATGACCCGATGGATTGATTAAGTACCCATCATATAGATCAGGATTAGTTAAATAGGAGCAACTTGAAGGATCTGTACCATCATATTCTCAATCCTTTGGAGGATAAACCATATGTTGTTTTAACTTGACAGTGAGTAAAGGTGTATTTAATGTATATTCTATGAAGTTAGACTTGTCCCTGTAAAAAGATTTCCCTTTCTTTATAATCTTATTGTCGAATTGTAAAGGGTTTCCTACGTCAAGATTTTGACATGATTTGATCTCATAAAAAAATTTAGTTGTTATAACAATTGTATTATGTGAAACTAAAAATTCTACAGATCCTATACCCCCGATGATTTGTGTTTGTTATCTAGAAGATTTTAAAATGTTGATGAATACTCAATTCAATTCTATCTCTATCGAACTTGCTACCTTCACATAATTCTCAAGATAAAATAAATATCATAAGACGTGTACTAAAATCAGTGTTTTCAATCCCGGATAGCGGAACGTAGCGGCCAGCCCTGAAAACGCTATAGCGGTATAGCGGATAGCGGGATGACCGCTATTCAGACTACTTTCTGTATAATACATAATTAACTAGAAGCATATGATTACATTGCATACACATTAGTAAAGTATGATATATGCCATTGAAAGTTGTAAACATCTTAACATTTTTTAAATCCTAAATTACTGGGAAATATTCATTAGTCTCATGAGGAAAACATAGAATAGTATTACTGATTAATACATCTTAAGTTATTATAACATTGAATAAAAAAGAAGTTCATGATTTAAGCCTTGATAAATCAAGTCTATCAGTCTACAAGTGGAAAGAAACAATGAGGAGTCTAGCATGTGTCATTCTTGTACAAGATGAAGGAGCACAGTCGTTCTTGAAAAACTGCAGTGAAGGTCGTTCTTGAAAAAAAGATGGAAAAGAGATTTTGTTGAAGCAGAGATCATCGCAGAGCGCAGAGAGCACGTTGCATACTTGTGCGTTTTTAAGGTTTCTACACTCATGCGTACGTGTACAAGGGTTTTAAGTTACTTATTATTTAGTTTTAAAAGTCTACTTTACCCCTGTCTATCTGCCGTAAAAAATTAAAGCTAAAACACCTAGCAGACCTTCAATCGCCAAAAGCGCCGCTATAGCGTCCACCCCTCAACTGCTATAGCGCCCGCTAAGTCCGCTACATCCAAACGCTCTGCTACAAGAGGTCTAGTAGCGCCAGACCCCTCCTCCGCTCCGCTCCACCACTATAGCGCCGCTATCGCGCGCGATTGACATCACTGACTAAAATACATTCTATTGTATGTTGTCCAAATTATGTTAGTATAAGCTTCAATTAGGGGTGGATCGGTACCATGTCGGACCGGGCTCCAGGCCGGGATTGGGTGGTTAGGCTTAAGAAATTCAGACCTGGTACCGGGCCGGGTTTATGGATTCTGGACGAAACTGGATAATAAATTAAAAATCAGGCTCGGGTCCGACCGGGTCAGGCCCAACAAAAAGTCCGGAGCCCGCCCTTATAGTCACCGGGTTGAACCCCGGGTCGGGACCGGACCTAAAAATTAGCAGGCCGGTCGGGCCTATGCTGGGCCAATGTGTCCCAGTCCATCCCTAGCTTCAATTAGAAGTGGAACCACTTTCTAAGAAAATCCTTGGTATACCATCAATATAATGTTTGTTACATTCTTGTCATCTACATTTAGCTTACACATTAATGGTTGTGAAAGGTTGC